TCATTGTACAAGCCTAACTAAAGAGTGCAAAATAATACTAATTAAATAATCAATACATAGAGATTACTTCATGGTTAGTGAGCGCGTACGGTTTTTATTCACGAGCTGTGAAGAATCAAACGAACGAGCGAGTCTTCGAGCGAGTGAATTTATTTATTTTATAAGTACTGAGACGAACTGAGACTGTATTACAAGTAAAAATTTTTTGAACTTGGAGTTGAGAGAAAAATTTATTGAACCTCGAACAATTGGTTAACTGAAATAGAAATGTCTCTTTCTAATAGTGTGATAAACTTGTAAATATAAGTATAATTAGATCAGAATTGTGTACTTGTTCAATATTAAAGTGAAAACCAATCAAAAAATAACCTAATGACTAATACACGAAAAATAAACTAAGTCAATCATGCTAAGATATGGGATCACTAGACTTGCAAAAGCACTGAAAACGAGCAGTACACACGTAAGAGTCCTAACTAGTCTGAGTCAGAATCACTCAGCACTTTTATTCTTTTGTATCTTTTTGCCGTGGGACTTTCAACCTCTTGAGATAATGTTGGCGACTCATTAAGACTGTTAATCTTAATGCTAAACTGACCGCCATGAATAACGGCACCAGAAAACAGCGACAATGCTTGTTGGCCATGCCTACTGTCAACAGAGCTTGTGGCAGAATTAAACGTTGCCAAACTGTTGTTTTGTGGTTTGTCTACGACATTACATGAACTACTTTCTTTACTTACTGCTCCTGTAGTCACAGGAAGCTCAATCTCATATATAACAAGACGATTTATAAGGCAGTGTATGGGAAATTACTCTTTAGCTTATAACTCTGTGAAAAATAAAGAAAATAAATCCAAACCCTCATGTGGTATTCCTTGTGTTTTTATTGTTGTCCAGTAGCGATTTCAGGACGATTTGGTGGATTTTAGCTGAGTTCTCCCCTCACTACTAAGAAGAAGGAAAGGAAGGAGACCTCCATTAGGCCAACGGACCGAGCCGCTCTCGAAAATCCATCGATTCGCAGACTAAAACGCGTCCCCTTGCTTCGATACTCCACAACACGAAAGCCTGATAGTTGCCCTTCACGTTAATCCAAAAATATCACATTAAAATGATCCCCTCGAGGAATAAATCCAGCGAGATTTCCAAAATTAACAGCCGTTTTGAACGCTTAGAACCCGCGGCAGTCAAACTTTGTGCAGCTCGGCCAATCACATTGCAAACTGATGTCAACAGATTTTGACAAGCTACACGTGAGAAATATCGCCAAGGTGGAAATCCCGCGCTAACTTAGCCTATTAAAATATGTTGACATCAGTTCGCAATGTGATTGGTCGGAGTTGACAAGAGATTCTTGCAAATATTCCCTTACCCTGGGTAGCCGAGTATTTGTCGTGACTTCCAATTCCCAAACCATGAGGGGGCCCGTTGGGAGGGTTTTGGCTAGATTCCAGGCCAACCGCGCCGTAACGGTCGCCGAGCTGTATCATTTAGTACTAATCAGATTTAGTACTATTTTACATTGTAAGGGTGTTCAGTCTACAAAATTTTGAACTCAAGAAACATTAAAAATTGGAACTCAACATTTATTAAATTCAACCTTACAACAATTACACACCAAAATAATAGCAGTGAACACAAGTGAGGGTTATCGGCCTGAAGCGAGGGCTTATGTCACATATTCACCGAGGGCAAAGCCCGAGCACAGGTAGCCCAGGTTAGCACAGGTAGCCCCATGGTTTAATTACAGCTCATTTCGTTCGGGTTTAGATGACGCTTCCCCACCACACACTAAAGAGGAGAAGGTGAGGAAACGACTCAGAAAAAACGGCCGACGAAATGAGCTGTAAATAAACCATGGGGCTGTTCAATATATCAACAACATACGGTGGGAGTTTTATTTGATTTTAATTATTTTAAAGCGTAAAAATAAGGATTCAAAAATACCCATATAATACCCATACAATCTTTGTCTCTCTGTCTGTCTCTCGATCGATTCAGTTATTCAACACTAACGGTAAGCCTGGGCTACCTGCGGCCCGAGGTGAACATATCACATAACCCCGAGGTTAAGGCCGATAACTAGCTTAGTTTTACATTGGGGAGGTTTTCAGAATTGTTCTTGTAAACAATCGATTAATCAAAAAGGCAAAATTTATGAGTTCCTTTCTTCCTACCATTGAAAAGATGTTCAGAGGAACAAAAAATGTTTAATTGAGTGATTTACTATTATGTTACCCCATATGTACTGAATAGGAGTCGATTTTTTTATTAAAAATGCGCGGTATTTGAACTGATGAATGTTATTTGTTTTTATTTGTCTTTTCATAGCAAAAAATGTACAGCTATTTTCTATTACTAAGCTCTTTAATGATATTCAGTACAAAGATCTCGCAACAGTTGACAGAGCTGTTTCACGAGAGACGAAAATGTCGGGCTCATGAAATTTTCTTAACTCAAAACAGTTTTCGTGTACTCATACCTCACAAACAAGCCGTATAAGAAGCGATCGCGTCAGTACAGAGCTCTCGACTAACTTACTGGAAAAGCGTGGCAACTGCCCCTATTGATGGTATTCAACCATTCCCAAGAGAATCAAATAACAAAAGACACGGCGGCTATGTCGGAGGATATAACAAAAGAATTCATTGACAATTCTTTTGTTAAGTTCCTCCAACATGGCCGCTGTCACAGGGATTTGTGTTCCCCCGAGTTATGTGTTCCCCCGAACACTGGGCACTAGTGTTTTGTGTTCCCCCCTCCCCTCCCTATGAAACATCTTTTGACACGATTCTCTCCCCCAGGTCAAGGACATGTTTTAACTTTAAAAAGATAACTATTACTCTGAAAACGAAAAGGAAATGGATTATCTCTATCGTACATCTTTATCGTACATCTTTATCGTACATTTTATAACCGCGTGATCCTCTACTGCCGTTGGTATTTTAGGAGATAAAATTTTATTTACCGAATTTAATAAATCAAGCGAGTTCTTTTCTTGATCTCGTGGCAAAATACATGAAAATACCGATATGCAAAATTTCTTTGCTGTATTATCTAGCCCTACATGACCGGCGAAAACAGATGAATGACTCTCCTCAAAGACCCTTTGCTTCTCTTCACTTCMTCTGATTACCGCTCTCTTTTCCACTCCTTCTACGTAACATAGTACACGATGCTGGTGAGTTTCCGTTCGAGCGAGATTTTCTTGTACATTCTCCGTAAAACATATTTTTCTTTATTCACAAAATCAGGAGGATTTTCCTTTCGGGATAAATAGTTAAAAACATTATCGTACTGTGAAGCTTCCATAATTTATTGAATTTAGATTTAAAGAATTTCGTTGAATTTAGATTTAAGGTGGCTCGACTGGGTTTTGTTTGTGGCGTACCTTCGAAGTTTCAAGGGGAAATGCGTCGCTGCCAATAAGTTAATTTCAAATAAATTATTATGACATGTCTAGAGATAGATTCAAGTTTTACATGATATACAAATTATCATGATCGGAGTTACCATAGCAATACAGTGACGTCATGTCATTTTTTTATACGTTCCATTTTTGGCGAAATCAGACGTTTGTATTAAAAATTGTTTAACAGAACTTAAAGTTCATATGTTTGTCTTCAAGTTAACGAAGTTTCGAATTTGTGATTGCAATTTCTATGAGCTAGCAAATAACAAAGGACTTGTCACACGACTATCTAGTACTCTCGTCAGTTAAACTTTATTTAGTAAAATATTTTTTTTGTCTTTAGAATGGTATAGTATCAAGTATATATGAAATTGCAATCACAAATCATCATAGTCGGAAGGGTTTCGGAAAGCAATCAGGCTTCGAATGTGAAGCGTGAGGTGTTGGAATGCACGACTTTGGAAATATTCTGGACAATAGAAAGGCGTAACGATATAAACAAAGTGCGAGTGAAGAAAGC